ATATATGCATCTTGGCATAAATACCTATGCATGGTGTGTAGGCAAACTGTTGGGGAAGGAATGGGAGAATGAAGCCTCAGTGGGGAGTTGGACTGGATCTCAGTGGGTCTCTATTCAGATTCAAACTCATGAGGGATTTGGAGATTTCACTTAAGTTTGCTTTATTTTATAGTGCACAACTTATTTTATTTGCAATTGGTTTAGTTTGGGATTCAGCTAACTACTGTGGATTATTCCAAGCATTTATGGTCTGATTCAAACCCTTGCTTATAAATAGCAGCTGAATCCCTGAGGGCCAAATAAGAAAAAAGAATAGAGCAAAAGTCTCTTAGTACAGTTATTACTCAATCCCAATTCCAATTTCTGCTACCTGTAGAAATTCTGGTGGTGCAGTGGTTAAAGCATTCAGCTACTAACCACAAGGCACATAGTTTGAACCCACCAGCTGCTCTGTGGGAGAGGGATGAGGCAGTCTGCTTTCATAAAGATTTATAGACTTTGAAACCCTATGGAGGGAGTTCTACTCTGCCCTATAGGGTCGCTATATGTCAGAATCAACTGGATGGCAGTGGTTTTGTATAGTAGAAATGTCCAACCTAGCAGGTAATACACTCAATTAGCTAGCTGATTTTTCAGCTTCTCCAGTTTTCTTATGAAGATGGTAATAAAGAGAGCAAGTTTTTTTTAAACAGCTCCTGAAGTACTTTCATTATTTCCTCTAGCTTTTAAAAGTATTATACTTTTACAAAGCAATGCAGCAGAAGGAATTTCATGGCTTCAGAATGAAAAGTACCCCCAAATGTCCTGAACAAGAAGAATATGGAAAAAAAAAAGTAGACTTTTCCTACTTAATTATGATTTCATTGGAATGAAAAAGAATAAAGTCCATATGTATTGTCACACCACATCTGGAATTCCAAATTTGTGGGTGTTGTGATAAAATTTGAGGCAGTATTTGTTTAACAGTTAGCAACAGTGCTTTAATGAGTAGGGTCCTATTGCAGAGGAAACAGAAAAGGAAAAAAAAAAAAAGACAAAACATAAAGCCATACTCTGTATCTAATCAGAGTGAATTACTGTGTCCCCTTCCATGTAATACTATCTTAAGATGATTTTTGAATGACAAACTTATAGTCTGAGCAGGCCAGCATTATTCCAAAGCAGAGCTCAGAATGGATTGCAAAATACACCATCTGCCATTTTATTTATTTCTTGCACAACAACACAGAAACTTAACAACAACAACAACAAAAAGAAAACAAAACAAAGAAGCAGCAGAAGATGGATTTACTAATTCTAGCATTCTAGCATCAGGACGATTGATTTACGTACCGAGGAAGGGGATGGTAGAGGTCATAAGGCATGATCTGCTTGTATCCGTCACTGTTAGGAACAATAATGCCAACCCTCTGAGTAGAAGGTACACACAATAAAATAAACACTAAATGATTACATTATACAAATTGTTTTATACAAATGCAAAACAACATTAATAAATTATCTCTGAAATACAAGACTAAAACAGTTCAATATCTTTATGCTAGCATGTGCTTTAAGAATGGGGCAAGTTCTTTGAAAGGGTACCGTTTAGTATAATTAGTTCTCTGATCCAAGCAGGAAATACCACTGGGAAGGGTGGTGGCAAGAAAACTTGGCACCTCATCATTAAATATGACACAATAAGCTTGTAAATGTTCTTTAATCCCCCAAATTATACATCCTATGAGGTCATTATTATTACCATCATTATTAATGTTACTTCCAGATGCTCACCAAGCAATTACTGTTACTGTCTCACTTCTGATGAAAGAGAGAGCTGTTTGAGTACAACATATACCTTGGAATTGACAATACTATGTAACATGCATTAGCAAATAGCTTTCTTCTTTGGCAGATCTAAGGGGTTTACTGATACCTGGAAAGCAGCCACTGGGGTATTTTATAAGGGGAGGGGGAAACCCTTGAATATAGTAGGCAATTATCAGAAAATGCAGGTTACCTACCAAAACAATATTAGCATAGTTAAATGAGATAGTAAATACAGAAAAATTTGGTGTTCTATAGAATGTTACACAGTGTTAACTGCTATTGCGGTAGTTGTAACTGTTGTGGTTGTTAGTCTATCTAGTGTCCTGAGAAGCTCTGTGAGGTTTGGAGACTGAAAGGAGCAGCTCAAGAAGCTACAAGTAATGGCATTATAGACTGTGTGGAAGTCCCCAGAGGCTTTGAGAACTCCAATAAACTATACTTGTTTACCACACTGATTTCTAGTAATACTTCCAATTGGTAAGACTGCCTTTGCTAAAATCTAGCACCTTGGCTTGTAGGAAATTTATGACTCATGGTCTCTGATAAGACGAGTAGTACAGTAGACCATCCATCAAGAGTGGGGCTTGAACAGAGCCCTTGTCTGGTTAGTACAGAGATGGCACCCTATGGCAGCATGCTAGGGAGGGCATGGGCACAGATGTTCATTGTATGACTGACAAATACACAATCAGAAAATTCTTTCTGAAAGAGTGAAGGAACCCAAGTTCCTCTGTATCCCTGAGATGGATGGTTTTATATTTATATATTTACTGTAATTATTATACTTATATTTAAATAATTAAGTAAATCCGTTTTAGCCTCATCCTTTCATCAGAGATACAGTATGTTCTTTTCACATAGCTAGCAAACCTAACCTTTTGAGTAGGAAACCAAAGAGAAAAGAGTGAGCTGGGTGTACTTTTGTGGATGAGAAAGATAAAAATAGCACTAACTAGACTCACTCATGAGAAATGAGGAGGAAGAAGGGAGGGGAAAAGAGGACTGGGTCATTTCTGAAGAAATTACTGAAAGATAAGGGTAATGAGATAATTGAAAGGTGAGGGTAATAAGATAATTAAATTTGAAAGAAAATGGAAAATAAAGCTAAGAAGATAGATTTCTTATGAGAGTAAAACATTAAAATATGAATTCATTTATTTACTTTACATGACTCAATTTTTTGTACTGATTTGTATGACTGCATTTCAGATTGTGTGTTTATTACCCTAAGTAACAATGTTCATGAAACTGGATGCTACCTCTGCATGCTCAAAATCCTCTAGCTTTCACCACAGAACAAAGTGCGTACGACATTAAATGGTTCTCCCTGTTTTTACAATGAGAGAAACTTTTCATTCTCTTCTGCCTTCTTCTGATGGACAGAAATTAAATACAAAAGGCTGAACCTGCTTTTTGTTAGAATCATGTGACCTCTTTCCCAGAATTCATACATCTAACAATTAAGGGAATTTAAAAATTGTATTTTAAAGCATACCAACCTTCCAAAACTCTTGTAACAGTATTGGACATACACTTGTTATCTGTAGTAATTAATTAAGGAATAAGTCAAACTCACTCTGAAGTTATAGTCTATTTGACCCCACAGCTTTACTAATGCCTACATCAATTTCTAAATGCATAAATATATATCATTGCCTTCTCTCCTGAGAAAATTTATGCCTATAATTTGTCATCTTCAATATTAGAATGAACTGTTGCAGATCCCTGTCAACTGATTTATCAGCTGATGATATTTAAAATGGAGACAGAAACAGAGGAGGAAGAAAATGAAAGGGGGGCTCTACAGAATTCAAGATGTTGGGTTTTCTTGGGCCTGATTTAGAAATTATGTTTCTGTTTGAATATGAATCTTTAAACTGGATTCAGCAAAACTACAGGTATATTTGTCTTTCTATGGCATGGGTTGTGGTGAAGACTCATAAAATGACTCTATGGCACCTGTGAAAACAGTAAGTTATCAAAACAATGGTACTCTGTCCAGTCTCACTAGAGCGTATTTGTGTGCATGGGCCTTGCTCTCTCCTGGGGCTCATGCCATGCCCCTGGCCTTTCATTACACTGTCATAGAAGGGAAGGAAATTGTATCTAAATCTAATTTCCCATTGCTTACCATTAAGATGTTTTGTTTTTTTCTTTGGCAAACTGAACATCTTGAAGAATGATGAAGAAGGATGTTGTTTAGTGACTTTAAAAACTTCTTCCAAAGTATCAATTTGTATGTGCACACATGTGTGCATGCATGCTTATACATGTGCTTGAATATATGGGTGGTAATAAAGGAGACAAAACCAAAAACACCCCACTTCCATTGCCATGAAGTCGATTCTGACTCATAATGACCCTGCGAGGACAGAGAGAACTGTCTCATAAGCTTCCTAAGGTTGTAATTTTTCTGGAAGCAGATTGCCACATCTTTCTCCCATGGAGCCAGTGGTAGGTTTGAACGGCCACACTTTCAGTTAGCAGCTAAGCATTTAACCATGGTGCCATAAAAGAGACAAAGATGAAGAAAAAACAAATTTAAAAAAGAAGATAAAGTAAACAGTTGGTTTGAAAGAAAAACTGCTCATTTTCCATTCTTAATTAGGGCAGTGGCTTGAGTCCATCTGAAGCTCCACATGGGGGGATTGATGGGGAGAAGAGAGGATAAGGAAGAGGAAGTGACCGTTTTGGAGTGATGCAGTGTCATTTGAGCTTGTTAAGAAGTAACAGAAAGACATCCCATTCATCCTTCAAAGTATAAGACTTATTCAGTTGTTCAATGGCAGGAGAATGCTTAAATGTTATGTTAAATATATTTTCATATAATGAAATATTATGCATATATAATAATGATGTCTAAAGAATCATTTTAATGACATGGAAAAATGCTCACGTAGTGTCAACCAAAAAACGTTAAGTACAAAATAGAATATACAATATGACCAGAATACTAAGAAAATCTGTATGTTTATTTATCATTTACACTATCATTTTCTTAAGGAGCTTGGGTGGTGCTGTGGGTAAGGTATTTAGCTGCTAACCAGGAAGTTTGAACCATCAAACTCACCAGCTCCTCCATGGGAGGAAGATGAAGCAATTTACTTCTGTAAAGATTTATAGCCTGGGAAACCCTACAGGGGTTGCTATGAGTCAGAATTGATTCGATGGCAGTGAGTTCATCATTTTCTTAAAATATATATAGATGTATGCATATATAGACATACACTTGTATATATATTTGTATACACACAACAGACATGCATATATTTGTAAAAGACCTAACATTAACACTAGTTAATTTCTGACATTTTGATTAAATTATATTATGGGTATTATTTTGCTTTCTTCTTTTTCTGTTTCTATTTCCAAAGTTTTCTATTATAGATTATCTTTTATAATCAGAAAAATATTCAATAAGACTTACTTAAAATCTTCAGAAATTATAAGAAACTTTTGGAAATATGATACAACTGGATGAAGTTAGGCTACTTCCTCAAATGCTTTGTGTCGCTTAAAGATTTTTGAGTCGTTGTGGTGAAATGATCTAGGATGCTACTTAAGAATATTCTCCACTCTAAAAATCAAGCTCAAATCAGGCTGCACAGTACGCTGTTGTGGAATTTACATTTTGTGATAACTCTCTCTCAACAAGAAAAGTTTGAATGGAACTAACTCCATGGGCAACTCACTTGTGTGTTTGTAGGTGTGTGTGTGTGTGTGTGTGTGTGTGTGTGAGAGAGAGAGAGAGAGAGAGAGAGAGAGAGAGAGAGAATGGAAATTAACCATAAGAAGTCTCTTTCATGGTTGCAACTGTTTTCTGTAAGTGAATCTCTCACGACCTCTTGCCTCTTCTTCTGAGCTGCAAATGCTTATTTCTGACTGCCTCACAGCTGGGTATGTACTGGTTTTCCCAGTTCACTATATCCTTAATACATCCCTGACAATTCATTATCTTCCCCTGCAAACTGCTTCTTCTCCTGTAATCACTGTTGCTATCCAGGGCACTGCCATGTTCTCATCCACTTCAGCTAGATTGCTGTGGGACCATCTCTGCTTCTCTTCTCCTTATTCCTTACAGATAACTCAGTTCTACCAGTTGCCACCTCATAAACAGCAACATCCATGAACTCTGTCTTCTCCTGACTCAAGTTGGGTTGTTCACAGCGGTCTCACAGCAGATCTCTCTGTCTGTAGCCGTTGTCTCCTCCAGTCCAGCCTACCCGTTGCTGTCACAGCAACATCTCCAATAATCTAATACTCAAGCTGAAGACCTGAGGTGGCTCCATAATGACCAAATGAAATCTGAGTCAAATGTGACCTCTCTAAAGTCTTTCCTTATTTTCTTTTTCATCATCTAACGAGAAATGTTCACTCCCTTTTCCAAATACCCACACCACTCTAACTTCCTTGTCATCACTTTTACCTATGTAATAACTTCTAACTATGTGCACATTTTTCTTTAGTTTTACACCATAAGGCAGAATCCATATTGGTTCTTTACTTCTAGCACAGTGCACTGGCCATAGGCAATTAGTAAATAGTCACTGAATGAAATCACGTCGTTGGTATGC